CCCCCCCCTCCCCCCCCATGGCTCCCGAAGCGCAGCTTTGCCGCCGGGCCGGTGCGAGGCGGCGGAAGCAGAAACCCGCCCGGACGCCGCCGCCGCCGCCACAGCTGCGCCCCGGGCTCAGACAGCCGCTCAGGCGGAGGCCCGGCCTTGCACCGTCCCCGGCCTCTGCTCCCTTCCTTACGCTGGCCGCGTCGCTTCGGAGGAGCGGGCAGGAAACCCGGCCTCTCGCGGCGCCCGCCTTCCCTGCCCTCCCGGGTCGGCGCGAGCGCCGGCGAGCCGAGCTCCCTCCGTCCGGTGCCCGCGCCGAGTGGCCAGGCCGACGTGGGCCTTACGCGGGGGAGGGAGGAAGATCGGCCGGCGCCTTCGCACCCTCCAGGCCCGTCTGGCTCCTCCGGGAGCGGCCGCGCGGAGACAACTTTCTTCGGGCGGAGGCGGGGAGTCCCCGTGGGCAGCCGCGGCACTAGGAGCCAGCAGGGCGGCTGCAGCTGCCGCCAAAGCCGCTGCTAAAGCACGCGGAGGTTTCCTCGTGGGGGCCCGGTACGTCCGGCCTGCCGAAGAGGAGGCGGCGGCCCAGGGGGGCGACCCGGCCTTCCGATATTGGGGAGGGGGTCCCAGAGAAGAGGGGGCCCCGAGGGGAAGACGAGGAGCGTGGAAGCTTACCGAAGAGAGCTCTGACCCAGAACTAAGGAGGAACTTCCAGATGGGACAGTTGACCAGCCTCCCTCCAGAAGTCGTGGGCGCTCCAACCCCGAAGGCTCTCCCGAAGGGACTGGACAGCCACTTGTCTGGGACGGGGCAGGTTCTCCTGCCTGAGCAGGGAGGGGGCTCGACTGGAACAAGGGTGCCCAACCTGTGGGCCATGAGGGGTTTGCAACCAGGCCCTGGAGACCACGTGCATGCACGCGCATCCTCACTTGTACGAGCAGCGGGTGAGCGTGCACGTGCTCCATTGAAGTGAGCGGCAGGTGTCCGTGCGCGCCGCTCGGGTAAACGGAGCTAAGTGCGCACACGAGCGCTTGTCAGCCGTTCGCGAGGAAACGTCCCCTCCCCACCAGTCCACAAACCCAGAAATGTTGGGGAACTCTGGACTAGAAGACCTCCAAGGTCCCTTCCAACTCTGTTATTCTGTATTCTTCAGGATTTGTCCCTCACCTGGTCCTTCGGGTCTTCCCAGGATGCCATTGTTACTGAGTCCCCCCCCCCCCCGCGCTGCTGGTCGTCCTCTCCTTCTGTTTCCTTCCCAGCACCAGAGCCTTCTCCAAAGAGCCGGGTCTTCCCATAATGTGGCTGAAATAGGATAATTTGAACCTGGTGATTTGTGCCTTGAATGAGAACCTCTCTCGGCTGATTTGGTCAATGATCCATCAATTTCTTTGCTGCCCATGGGATTCTCAGGGATCTTCTCCAACTCTGAAACATCAGTACATATCCTATCCTGTTTTTTCAGATTCCAACTTTCGGTGTGTCACAGCAGGCTGAAAAGGCAAGAGGGACAGTACAGATTTTAGCAGGTTATTCCTATTAATTTAACAGAATAACAAGAGTTGGAAGGGGACCTTGGAGGTCTTTCAGTCCAACTCCCCGCTCAAGCAGAAAACCTAGGGTCTATATGCCATTTCAGACAAATGGTGGTCCCGTCTCTTAGAAGCCTCCAGTGTTGGAGCACCCACAACTTCTGGAGGCAGGTCGTTCCACTGATCAATTGTTCTCACTTGTCAGGAAATTTCTCCTTAATTCTAGGTTGCTTCTCTCATTGATTAGTTTCCATCAGTTGCTTCTTGTCCTGCCTTCAGGTCTTTTGGAGAGGAGGTTGACCCCCCTCTTCTTTGTGACATCCCCCAAAATATTGGAAGACTGCTGCCATCTCCCCTCCTAGTCCTTCTTTTCATTAAATTAGACATACCGAATTCCTGCAACTTTTCTTTGTATGTTTTAGCCTCTAGTCTCCTAATCATCTTTTTTTGCTCTTTTCTGCACTCTTTCTAGAGTCTCAACATATTTTTTAATTTGTGTTAATGCAACTCCAGCTCTTTTCTCCCATGGGAGGGATGAAGTGGCCATGAAAATGAAGCAAAACACCTATGTAGTCAGAAGCAACTTTGGTTTCCAATAATAGTGGGGAATGTTAGAAAAATAACTAGCCGTTTCCAGTTTCAAAATGCAATTAGGGTGGAAATGAAAAAAGATTGCATTTCTGCTTTTGGCTGGCTGTGGGGCTTTAAATTTTTGCCTGTGTTTTTGAAGAAATAGAGGCTAATATTATATGTCATGTACCTTTTATTTAGAAACTCATATTATGAGGGAATGATGAATCTAATGTATTGTCTGATTTTTTTTATTTACCGTAGCTAGCTATAAAAGCATAATAAAACTCTACTGCTGCTGCAATGGGGTAAATTGTTCAAATAGGTTTAAATCTCCTTGGCACTCTAATTATTCCTGTGAGGGTTTTATAATCAGCAATATAACTTACATGAATGTCAGTTAATCCCCTTGAGCACTATTTTGAGTGGAAAAGGGATATAAATTTAATGAAGGCACTATATTCTCACTAGTACCCATTTGGCTGTCTTTTCCTTAAGAATGGTAGCACCTTAAACTATGGTACCATTTCCCAACTTTGGCAATTTTGAGACGTGTAGACTTCAACTCCCAGAATGCTTAGCAATGGCCATGCTGGCTGGAGCATTCTGGGAGCTGAAGTCCACACTCCTTGAAGTGGGTCAGGTTGGGAAACACAGCTATGGCTACTGTATCTGGACTGCAAAAATTGGAACTACCAGTAGATGGCAGCAGAGATACAGGTACAGTACTCCTCAACTTACAACCATTCATTTAGCCACGGTTCAAATCTATAATGGCACTGAGAAAAATGACTTACACCTGGTCCTCACATGCCTGTCACAGCATCCCATGGTTACGTGATCAAAATTTGGATGCTTGGTAACTGGCATGTACTAAGAGGGTTGCAGCATCCCGGGGGTCACAACTGTGACCGTCTCAGACGGCTTCCAACAAGCAAAGTCAATGGGGGAAGCTAGATTCAATTAATGGCCCTATGATTCATTTAGCACCCAAAGTGATTCACTTAACAACTGTGGCAAAAAGGTCATAAAATTGGGTGAGACTCATTTAATAATTGCCTCGTTTAGCAACGGAAATTCTGGCCCCCAATTCTGGCCCGAAATTTAGGGCTATCTGTATAGGAAAGGCCCTTTGCCAACTTTTTCATGACCATCTGGAATTTTGCAGCCGCAAACTGATAACATTGGGCATGTACAAGTAGTCCTCGACTTACAACAATTGAGCCCAAGATTTCTGTAGCTAAGTGAGACATTTGTTTTAAGTGAATTTTGGCCCAATTTATGACTTTTCTTGCCACAGTTGTTAAGTGAGTCACTGCCGTTTTTAAGCTTGGAACACGGTTGTTAAGTGTATCTGGCATCCCATGGACCCAGCTTGCCAGGAGGTCACAAAAGGGGATCACATGACATCAGGACACTGCAACCGTCATAAATATGAGTCAGAATTTTGACCTCATGACCATGGGGATGCCACAACAGTCATAAGTGTGAAAAATGGTCATAAGTCACGTTTTCAGTGCTGTTATAACTTCTAATGGTCGCTAAACAAACTGTTGCATCAGTTGATGACAACCTGCAAACTTTTCTGCCACCTGCAATTCATTTAGGCTTCAGCGACCTTCACTGGGAGCTGATCCAGGGATGGGGGCGACATCATCATCAGAAGAAGCAGGACAGGATAACTGGGCATTCCACTAAGGCAGCCTCTTCCTAACTGGGTTCTTCCCGGGCTGCTGGACTACATAGCCCACCAACTCCAGCAGGTGTGCTTGCTGTAGATGAGAAAAGGCTTTTGCACAACCCAGCAAAATAAAACAATCACTCGCATAACTGTAGGCAAAAAGGAAAAGCTTTTACTGTGAAAAAGGACAGCCACAGCTCGTCTCTTCGTACAATTACAACATGAGCAAAACATTTGCAGCTTACGAACATGGTGCTTTTTTTCCCCAAAGGCTCCCTTTGCAATAAACAATATCCTCGGGGGGGGGGGGAGTAGTTATATCCTGAGAGTTGGGAGAAAGACTCCCACCGAGGCATAATTTGCTTTAAATTCCCCCAAGAGGCTTCATACCAGCCTCCTCCGTCCAGCAGTCCTGCGTGAAGTCACGGTCTCAAAATTACAGTCTGAACACATCCAGCTGTGGCAGGTAAGGAAGGAAAACGTTTTATGTAATAGAATAATCAATGGAATCTACACATTATCATCATTAACTGGGATGTCATTATTCCGTGTTCAGGTTTTCAAGACTACAGGCAAGAGATCTGAAGCACCATCCTTCTTTGCCTTTATTCACCTATAACAGCAATTCTCAACCTTGGCCAGTTGAAGATATGTGGACTGGCTGGGGAATTCTGGGAGTTGAAGTCCACATATCTTCAAGTGGCCATGTCTGAGAAACACTGGCTGTAAGAAAATGGTCCCTTTTTCTTCTATGCCCTCAAATTAGGGCCAGTTCCAAGGGACATAACAGGAACTTCACAAACACGGCCTTACTGGTTTCCAGCTTGTGCGAACAAGTTCTTCGCTGAAACTAGATATATGATGATAAAGGAGACTTAAACCAAGTTTACTAACCAGCTAAGTTCCACTCCCAACTCCACTCAACTTCTTGGGATTCAAAAATCCAATCCAAGGATTGTGACCTTCACTAAAAACAATTAATCCCTTCCTACAAAATGGCGTTCATTTTCCATCATAATCACAAAGAGGTCTCGAGAGGGGTCATTCAACACAGCTGTTGAAAGTTAAAAGCAACTTGCAGTGTAAGTTGTCATCATTTAAAAAAAAAAATCAAAATTAATGGGAATCAGCAAGTAGAAAAGTGCTAAAAATAAAACTAATTTTGAGGCCCAAGCAATAGAAAATCAGCTGAAAGGAGCAGACAAAGATGTCCATTTTTCAAACGATAATACATTTATAGGGGAACATGTTTTAAATTAAAAACATTTTTAAACAGCACAAAAGTTTTCCTAAGGTGTTTTCTAATGAATTTGACAGATATTTATTCAGCAAGCTTCCTCAAAGTAATATTATGTTATTTTCTAAATTACGGTACCTCAACCTAAATTGGGGATGGGAGGGAGAAAAATTGTATTTGTCCATCAAGTTATTTTTTTTTTTATTCATCACATTTTTACACTGCGTATCTTACCTAAATAGCTCAGGGTAGTTTACAATAAAAAATTATTACCGCAGATTTGTCTAAAAAAAGCTCATAGAAGCTTAAGTGCCCCAAAAGGAAGATCTTGTGATTAAAAAGCGATATCCCTTCCAACATACACATGACGTTTGTTTCTGAGAATTTAGAATTTGAAAATCCTTCCTACTTAATAATAAATAATAATAATCTCCTACGGCATGTGGAACTGGAATGAACAGTTCAAAGCGGGCTTCTTCCCTCGCTGTAGGAATTTGTACATCTTGAAACATATCGGTCAACAAGAGGTACGTCTGAACCTAGTATTTTGTCAAAAAATATTTAAATCACATACTGTACTCAAATTCAGCCAACTACATAGAGGCCGTAATTTATACAGCAGTCCTTCTCATCCTTGGCAACTTTTAAGACATACGGACTTCAATTCCCAGAATTCTGCATGGCTGGGAGAATTCTGGGAGTTGAAGTCCACGTGACTTAAAAGTTGACAAGGATGAGAAGCACAGCTGTAGACTGCTCGCAGGCTGTATGTTTAAAGCCAATTATGCCAATTAAAGGTTGCAGAGAGCTATCTTCTGTAGAGGTATTTTGGGTATTGAGACATTCAGGGCCTTTCTTAAAACTTCAACCTCCTGTAGGTGATTTGGGCTTTGACTTTTAAAATCCCAGTACCAGCACTGTTGGTGGCACAGTCCAGGCTGAGACAACCCGACTGAGAACTTTGTAGATATATATGGGATAAAATATTATTGTACTTGTATTTATACTGATTTGTGCAGTCTAGCAAATATTGCCAGTACTTTCTAGTATAAATTTCCACTCATAAATAGAAAGTCATTACGAATTCATCTCAATTATATGTACTATCTTGATGAACAACATGACCCCATATAGTTTATTCAGGTGCTGGTCAACTACACCACCCATGTTCATTTCTTGGACCACTGGGAAATGTTTTCTTGAGAGCGTGCAACTATCTTCCATAAGTACATGACTGCAAAGCCATGTAAGTAGGGAGAGAATTGGGCATAAGACCTCCTGAAACGGAATTCGAGAATATTCTTTCCCAATTATTTCTCAGATAAATTCTGAGAATGTTAAAAGTTAGGCAACAAAGTATGTTATTTCTTGTGTTTTCTTAAATTACAAATAGATACCATCCCTTTGGGCAGGTACAACTGACAGAAGCTGCCTTTGAAGTGTCCTATATAAAATGGTATAATTTCACCAATATTTCTACATTACACAGAAGAGGAAAACAAAGAAACATTGCTGATAGCACAGGACACTTTTCCCCCCAAAAAAAGATGGCCAGGGGTGACATCATTCAGACCATTCTCAATTAACCAAACAGGAAAAAAAAATTGGGAGGTAAACTTCTATACAAAATATTTTAGTCCAGCACTGTAAAACAAGATTGTACTGTTTCCAAATAGTTATCACACCTAGTTCAGTTGCGCAGTCTCCCCTCAAACTGCTCTAGATGTGCCGAGACTACAATTCAAAGCTGAATCTAGACACAATTTCAGTCACCCTATCTGAGAAAGTTCCTGGTGCCAAATTAACATGAAAATTCATCCTGCCATCTGAAAAGTCTGCACTGAACCAGTTCTTAATTCAAGAGGCACAACTGTATGAAACAGGCTTCCAATTATGGTGAAATTACAGCAGGGAAATGTCACGTTGGAATCCTTTCGCTCAGCCCACGTTTCTCAGAAACGGCAAAGGAGGAGAAGCAGTGACATTTTGAGACCATCTCCCCTCATTGCCATTTCAAGTAAAATGCTGCCGTGGCGTTTCCCTCAGAGACGGTTGCTCTGCACTCCTGCATTCCCCGATGAATAGAATAAAATAAAACAAAACTCAACCCATCCACTTTTTCACGCTGCGCTGCCATATCCAACTGGCTTCCCCAGCAGACAGCGCAGCCTGTGGAATTTAATTGGAGGAAATGGAGATGTTATTATTATTATTATTGGCTTTCTTTTTACTGGATAGGCAAATTGAAGATGGACTTATCCAAGAGGACAGCTTTTATATCCTTAACAGATGATCCCCAGAAACACGGCAAGGCAACTGGACAAATAAATAAATAAATAAATAATGGTAAAAAGATCCCAGGTCTGACATATCTAATATGCATGTCACAAACCAAGATTACCTGGAGGTAAAAAGAAATTATTTTTTACTGGAGTGGTGTCTTGCTTTGATTAGGGCAGTGTTTCCCAACCTTGGCATGTGGTTTTAAGGCATGCTGGCTGGGGAATTCTGGGATAGAAGTCCACACGTCTTAAAATGATTAAGGTTGAGAAACATTGGTTTAGGGCATAAGATGGGGGGGGGGGGCAACGAAGCACACATTCCCAGTTATTAGATCAATGGGACAGGGACCTGGGAGGAAAACAGCTCTCATGAAGTTCAGATTAAGGAGTGTTACAGTTTAAGCATGAACAACAACAGCAACAACAAAATACTTGAAAAGACAAAAGGGGAGGAGGGAAATAGTCCATTTGTGTAACAAATGCCAGGGAAGGGATATGCAGCCAGTGCCACTAACAAAGCTGAATTATTCAAGTGCAGGACGTCAGCACACAAACACACACAGATCCAGGAGTTGGCAGCATTGCTTGCTGACAGTGACTGATATTTCCCAGAGAGGAAGAAAATGCAGAGCTGAGAAGGACAGAATTCTAGGTTTGAATCCGCCCTGTAAGGAAACAGGAAAAAAGCCTCTCCTTTCGGTAAATCTGGCTTTGTACAATTCAGGCCACAACATTTCAGCAGGTAGGGCAGTTCCAGGAGCCACTGAGGTGGCAAAAAGGCAGAACCAATATAAAAAGGGATGGAGTGATTTGGTCATCAATTTATGCTTCCAGCAGAATGAAGACTTAGGGGGTTTTGTGTAGACTACAAAAGGGAGGACGGACAGCATCTCTGGATGCTTCTCCTGTGAAAAAGGACGAGGAAAGGACAAGGAAGGGAGGGAAGGAGACGAAGCCAAATCTCTTTCCTCGACTTACTAACATTCTCTTCTCAATTAAACTGTTTGGCCATGCAGCTTACAGCCATAAAAGAGACAGTACAGAGAAACCTTATCACACAGCAGACCAGTTAACACAAGTTAAAAAAAAGAATTAAGGGTTTTCCCTTATTTGTTCAACTAGCTTCCCCGGGGAGAATAGAAAATATATTAAATTTCAACTCAAGCGTCCATTCCTATGCGCCTCAGAAGAAGAGAGGACGTCCAGCCTAGGGACTAAATTCAGTGTCGGTTATGCACCCAGTTCAATGGTTTAGCACAAAAAGGACGTTTTCAGTGTTCCGCAGTCCTACTTCAAATGTTGTTCCGGACGGGGGTTCCCAGCAAAATTTCAAACACGTCTTTTGTCCGAGGAGTAGGTTGTAGACACCGGCCAGTCGTACAAATCTGGTAGAAAGGATTCGTACTCCGATGTCCAGATTCTTGATCGTATGTACTGAATTTTGTCTGCTGGCTCCGGGTAATGGAACGCCATGCGATTGGCGTATAAATATTCCATGACCTACGGAAGAAAAAGGGGAAATTTAAATTACAGGTAGCTCTCTGCATACAACCACAATTGAGCCCAAAGTTTCTGTCACTAAGCGAGACAGTCAGTGAGTCGTGCCCCATTTTACGACCTTTCTCGCCACAGTGGATAAATGAATCACTGCAGTTGTTAAAGTTAGTCACACAGCTCTTAAGTGAATCTGGCCTCCCCATTGTCAGAAGGTCACAAAAAGTGATCATGCGACCCTGGGATACTGCAGCCGTCATAAATATGAGTCAGTAGCCAAGCGTCTGAATTTGGATCACATGACCGTGGGGATGCTGTGATGGTCGCAAGTGTGAAAAACGGTCAGAAGTCACTTTTTTCAGTGCGAGAAAAGTGAATGGGGAAGCCAGATTCATTTAACAACCGTTTCACTTAACAACTGTGGCGAGAAAGGTCGTAAAATGGGGCAAAACTCACTCAGTAATGGTCCCGCTTATCAACAGAAAATTAGGGTTCCATTGTGGCTGTAATTCGAGGACTATCTGCATTTCTTGTTCTTTTCTGAAATGGGTGCTTACCTTTATAGCTATGTTAACGGACACTTCCCTGATGTTGGAAAGCGCGGGATAAAGTCTCCCCTCCTGCAGTTCTTCCTCACTCAGCTGCTGGGACAACGTCTTTTAAGACAAAAAAAAAAAAAGGGGAGGGAGGAGGAAGAGGAGGAGAAGGAGGCACTTTATCCAGGAGTAAACCTGCCATGCTGGCCCTGCAACTGGGCAGGGTTGGGGCCCCCATGATGAGAGAAGGAAGCCTTCCTTTGATCAGGCAGTGAAATCAAAGCTGCTTTTACTAAGTTGAAGAAGCAGCTTAACATTCGCCCAGAGTTTTTGCTTGAGTTTGGTTTCTATTGGTGCTTCATCCTGCTTGGTGTATGATCCACCAAAAACCCTCCCATCAAAACCCTCCCATCGACACTGACCAGACAAGCCACTTGTACACAAACGGAAAGCAAACCCATTCCCTTCAAGCATGATGACGTTACCTAGTTGGGTAATGCAATGTCTGCAAGAAAATAGCCCAGCTTAGCGAGCACCAAGGACCCACCATTCCACCCTGAGAGCTTCTCTTCTGTTGTCACCAACATATAAAAGTCATTTTGGGAACATGTTTCCTTGAGATGCGTTGAAGAAAGCTAAAAGGTACAGCCTGGCTGTGGTTGTCTTGAGCAGACCTTGCCCATCCCATGCAAAAGTTCAGCCAAGAGAAACTTCTGTCCTTGGAGTACGAAGCGAAGCCTCCCTTAGATACCGTAAAAGCACCTTCCCTAAGAAGAGAGGCCCACAGTCCCTGCCACCCCCGGCCAGTTCTTCACTCCAGACCAAATCCTCAGAAATGGCAGCCTATGTCCCTATTTGAAGGAGCTTTCATTCGCCCAACCTGGGAGACATCTTGGGTGTCCAGGACCCGATCTGTCATCCACTCCCACGACTGACAACTATAGACAGCTATACAGGGAGCCAGTTTGGTGTAGTGGTTAAAATGTTGGCGTGGAAACTAGGAGACTGTGAGTTCAAGTTCTGCCTTAGGCACGAAAGCTGGCTGGGCCAATCATCAGAGGGCTGTGAATTCTAGTCCTACCTTGGGCACAAAAGCGGGCAGGTGACTTTGGGCCCATCACCAGGCAGTGATGAGTTCTAGTCCCAGTTTAGGCATGAATGCCAGCTGGGTGTCTTCCAGCCAGTTCCTCTCTCTCTCAGCCCAACTCACCTCACAGGGTGGTTGTTGTAAGGAAAATAGGAGGAGGAAGGAGTATTATGTATGTTCACCACCTTGAGTTACTTATAAAGTAATAAAGGCAAGATAAAAATCTGGGTGAGCGAGCGAGCGAGCGAGCGGATGGATGGATGGAAAAGATCAGGTGATCAGAATCCCAACCAACCAGTCTCCTTTACCTTTGCAGCTTCCAAAAAGACGTTGTCACTGATGTGCCGGACGCTACTCAGGACAACAGCAAGAGCCACACCTGCGACACAGAGAGAAGGAGTCTAAATGATAAAAGTCATTTTTTATGGTTCATGCAAAGCATGCAGGGAGTAAAAACCTTTAGAAAACTGGGGCACAGCAAACAACAACAGGAACATAACAACGAAATACACAAGTGGAGTGGGATAATACTTGCAAACTACGGGTAACTAGATTTTTATGATGAGATTAAACATGCTATACTTTCTGCAATAAGCACAAAGGCGTTTGAACTGCATTCTTTAAAAAAAAATCTCATTTTTTTAAAAAAAAAAAAATGCCTGGAGAGCAGTTGTGGAATAGAATTAGAAAGAAAGAAAGAAAGAAAGGAAGGAAGGAAGGAAGGAAGGAAGGAAAGAAGAGAGAGAGAGAGAAAGAAAGAAAGAAAGAAAGAAAGAAAGAAAGAAAGGAAAGAGAGGAAAGAAAGAAAGAAAGAAAGAAAGAAAGAAAGAAAGAAAGAAAGAAAGAAAGAGGGAGGAAAGTTGGGAGGAAGGGAGGGAAGGAGGGAGGGAGGGAGGGAGGGAGAGAAGGAAGGAAGGAAAGAAGAGAGAAAGAAAGAAAGAAAGAAGAAAGGAAAGAGAGGAAAGAAAGAAAGAAAGAAAGGAAAGAGAGAGGAAAGAAAGAAAGAAAGAAAGGAAAGAAAGAAAGAAAGAAAGAAAGAGGGAGGAAAGATGGGAGGGAGGGAAGGAGGGAGGGAGGGAGGGAGGGAGGGAAGGAAGGAAGGAAGGAAGGAAGGAAGGAAGGAAGGAAGGAAGGAAGGAAGGAAGGAAGGAAAGATGGGAGGGAGACGAGGTTAAAACGGAAGGTGATTTCCCAGAGCCGAGCTCCGTGAACATTTCAGGCAGGCTCCTCTATGGAAAGATAACTCTGTGCTATGCAAAGCAGACAGAATCCAGTGGGGAGTGTGTGGGAAAGACCTTGGGATAAAAGGGGAAAGAGCTGCAGGCAGATAGGAGGCCGCTCAGCCGCAGAAGGAAACGCCTCAGAAGGGACCCTCCGTGGGGTCTTGGGCTGGGGAGACTTGCTTTGAGACTTGCAAGGTTCTGTTACGGCAACCTTAGGATCAAGTAGAGCCGCTCCTTCCGGGAGGGAGCGCTTCGCGTCTGGGACTGCTCTGCAAGGCTGACAGGCCGTTTGAAAAGAACGAATCGACCAGGCAGGAGCGCCAAGGCTTTACCTGGAAATATGTAGGCGTTGTTTCCCTGGCCCGGTTTGAAGGACCGCCCGTCCCTCAGCTTCACGGGCCCAAATGGACTGCCGCTTGCAAACAGGCAGCGCCCCTGGCAAAAGAGAGAATCGAGTGAGCCAAGGCACTTCTGGAACCGGGTCCTTGGGGTCTTAGGAAAGTCCGGCAGGGTCGAGGCGTCTGATCTCCGGAGGGAGAATGTTCCAGCGGGTGGGTCCCGTGGCAGAAAAGGCACATCTTCTCAGCGCCCCCAAGCGGCACAGGCCAGGGGTCTCCCAACCTGGCAACTTTAAGACTTGTGGACTTCAACTCCCAGAATTCCCCAGCCGGCATGGAGACCCCCTGCTTGGTCAGGGAGACCTGAAGCAAGTCCCTCCCGCCTGACTCGATTGGACGGGCAGAAACAACGGGGGAGCAGCCCAGTCCCAGGGGGGTCTTTAAGGGTGACCACCTGCCCCCCTGAATGGCACTTGAATCATTCTTCGCGTGCAGAAAAAAGAAGGATTTTTAGCTAGTGGTTCTTCCTTCCTTTTTCATGCAGGAAGGCCGGAGCGAGACAAAATGTACAATTTTCATTCCAGTCTGAAAGGGTGCAGGTCAGAGGGCAACAAAGAAAAATGTCACGTTCAGCCAGGGATCAGGGCCGGGCGGTGCCTGGGCGAGGGTCACCAGCTGCTCCCCGGAGTCCTTCCTGGGAGGGTTCGTAAAGGGGCAGAGCGTCGCCCTGCCCTGCTCAGAGGCTGCAAATGTGCCCAGAGTAGGAGCAGGAGGCAGGAGGACCCTCTGCCACCCTTGGAAAGGCTTTTACAGGTAGCCCTCGACTTACAACCACCACAGAGCCCAACATTTATATCGTTAAGTGAGACAAATGTTAAGCGGGTTTTGCCCCATTTTACGACATTTCTTGCCACAGCTGCTAAGTGAATCACTGCAGTTGTTAAAGTAGCAACCCGGTTGTTAAGTGAATCTGGTTTCCCGATTGTCAGAAGGTCACAAAAAGTGATCACGTGATCCAGGGACACTGCAACCATCATAAATATGATCCACTTGCCAAGCGTCTGAATTTTGATCACGTGATCCTGGGGATACTGCAAAAGTTGTAACTGTGAATAATGGCATTGAGTCACTTTTTTCAGTGCCATTGTAACTTTGAACGGTCACTAATCGAACTGTTGTAAGTTGAGGACTGCCTGTACATCCATATAATTCATTCAGATATTTTTATATCCCAGCCCTCTCCAGTCATTTAGACTAGAAACTGGGAGACAGTGAATGGGTTAGCCTAACCCTAACTCTAACCCTAACCCCCCCCCCAAAAAAAACGTGCGTCTAGTTTTGGGAAAACGCCGCCCATAGAAAACCACCAGTTTGCTTAATGACTACAGGGTTTGCTAAATAACTAGAGTGGCCACTTTATGACCGTTGTGTTTGCTTAATGTGTGTTGTAAAAATAGAGTTCTAAAATGGGGTGGGTTGTGTGTTTTACAACTGTTACAACTTATGACCGCAATGGGCAGGCTCTGTTATGGATGTAACTCAGAGACTACCTCTATTTTCTGTCTAAATGTAAGAACTGCTTAATGTCATTGGACCAAGATCTTCCTGATCTTGAACTTCTACAAAATAAAATATTTCTTTATGGCAGTTGAGATATTATTCCCATTTTTTTGACCAGGGAAAGTGGGTAAGAGTTAACAAGGACTTAGGGAAACTTTGTTAGGCTCTGTAGCTGACTAAATCCTAAATAAGAACAACTATAATTTGCCCAGCTAAAATGTTGCTTGATGTTTGCATCGCGGTGGAATGGGACGCAGGAAGCAGGGCTCTGCCTTCCATGCCCGATTTCGCCTTGCTAGGGGCCCTAAAAAGGGCCTAAAGTCACCCCGAAGAGGCGACAAAGAAGAGGGGTGCCTTGTGATCACGGAGAGACGGTGGTCTTTCTGTTCGATCCAAGGAAAGCCCTCCAAACCAGCAGGGGAAAGACCTGCTACACTCCTGTGGCCAGCCATTAGCTGCTGACAACCGAAGAAGAAAAGGCACCAAATAACACATCGTAAACAGCATGTTTGAAACTGGGTGAGAATATTGATCCTTTTTTTACTATTTTACAACTGAATCTCCTGGGAAAGGCTCCCAAGAAGTTAAAAACCTCCGAATGTAAACGGAAGCGGCATTTTAATTTTATGGGGGACAGAAACGTACAATACTGAAGTGGAAGTAGCATAAAGCTACAGTTTTGATAAATTTGAGAACTGAGATAACTGTTAAGGTGTTCTCTTTGAAAAAAAAAACCATTGAGGTGAAATTCTTCTTCTTGTTGTGCCATATCCGTTATCGGACGTTGGCGATCATGTTGGCGATCCTGTTTTGACCTGCAGCCGCACGAAAAACTGCTGCTGAGTTTTGTCCAAATCAGTCCCTTAGATTTTGAAGCCAGGATGTTCTTCTTCTGCCTGGACCTCGTTTGCCTTCCGTCTTTCCCTGGAGGATTAAATGGAGCATGCCGTATTTTTCTGGGTGTCGCATCACATGTCCGAAATATTCTAATTTTCGCTTTTTAATTGTTTTGATGATTTCCCTTGGCTTTCCCAGGCGGCTTATCACCTCCTCATTTCTGATCTTGTCAACCCAGCTTCTACGTAACAGCCGCCTGTAAATCCACATTTCAAATGCTTCTAGTCTCTTCAGATGGCCTTCTGTCAGAGACCAACTTTCTACTCCATAGAGCAGGATAGGAAAAACATAGCATCTGACAAGCCTGATTTTCAGTCTTAGGCTTATGTCGTGACTGCAGAAGACCTTTTTCATTTTGAAGAATGCTGTTCGAGCTTTTTCTATTCTTGTCTTTACTTCAGTGGTCATGTCCCAGCTTTCATGTAAATTAGTGAGGTGAAATACTGTGTAAGAAATCAATCCTTTGTTTTAAGAGTGGAAAATGGACTTTGAATAACATCTAGTGGTGGATTTTTGTATAGCACTATAATTGGCTTCCTGGCTGCTTGGTGGCTCCTAGCTTGGGACAGCTGGCAATAAAGGAAAATATTTCGGCATACTTATCACTTTGACCTTCTTGGATTATACCTACCTACTGAGCTTGGACTTCTAACCTCAAGAGCTAGTGGGAGAGAAAGAAAAAATTGACCTTGGACTACGCCTGGCTGGGAGAGACTTTTGAGCTGTTTTCAGAGAGGTTGAACATTTTGAACATTGTGGATTACAACCTGTCCTGACTGACAACTTTTGGATACTTGAGACAAAATATCACTATAAAATATTGCTTTCAGGACTGGAATATATTCTGGAAATCTATTGGATTATAAGAGATACATATAAAGACCAGAAAACTAAAGGAAACTTTGATCTACTCTTACTGAGACTGGTGATACTAGAGGATCTCCAGGAATGATGTCTCAAGAAAAAACAAACACTTTTCAGAAGGAAATATATTCTATGCTACAACTAATTCACCAAACAGTTGTTGCATACAAAGAGGACATAAAAAGAACTCATAATGTGACTAAAAACAATTTAGACAATATAAATAAGCAAATCTCCAAATTAAATCTACAAATAGAAAGTTCCCAGATAACGACTACAAAGTATGAACAAATAAACCAGAAATCAGAAGACAAAACAGAGGAAATGGATTTAGAGATGGAAGAGATAAAAGAAGGGAAATATAAATGACTTATATACAAACAAAATACTGCAAGACTTAGCTATAACAATGAAAATGCAAAAGACCCTTTACCCCTTAGGTCTGCAAAATACATCTGATGGCAAGGAAGAAGATTTTAAAAAATGGAATTTAGAGCTGTTAGGGGAAATATCACAACTTGGGAGACAAGGAATGAAAAGAGAAATTGAGGGAGAAAGCAACTGGGAGTTGTTTAAGGAATATAAATGGACAGAATTCCCCCCCCTCCCAAAAAATACCCTACCTAAATTGTCTTCCTCATGCCAAGCAATTTTTATAAAAATAGAAAGAAAATTCCTGGGTGATCTAATTGCCCTGGCTTGGAAAGCTGCTTGGCAAAGAAAGAAAGAGTCAGATTTAAAAAACAGAAGATTTGACCTTTTAGAAGGGGCATTATATGTTTAAATACTTGTTTGAATAAGATTAAAAGAACAGATAACCCTTAGATATGATTAGACTTTTATAATGAAAGACATGATTTAGAACTAAAATAGCATTTTTTTCTTTCTTTCTTTTTGATATGGGAAATAAGAAGATAAGAGGAGGATTGATATGAATACAACTTTTAGCTATATAAATGTAATTAATATTGAAAAAATTATAACTGACAAAGATATTTCAAATACTAGTAAGAAATCAAACCCTAACATGACCACGAAAAACAGGATATTGATTTATGAATTGACATTATTGATTTATGAATTGAGATTATTGTTATTTGTACGATAGTAGTAAAATATGATGAAGATGCTTATATCTAACTCTAAACATTGACAGTACCAAAAGTTGTAACTGTGTAATGAGGGGAAAATAGAAAAATATGGGGAAGAAAGGAGGATCAGGGAAAAAATACTGGATTGTGTAGTATTGAACACACTTATATTGAAGAAGTTAATGTTAAATATCTGAACCCAGAAAATATGTTGTTTACTAAGCACTAAAGATAAGACATTACAGGTAGTCTTCAATTTATGACTGCTTGCTTAGCGGCAGACCTCCTCACAGCTACTAACAACCCAGATTCAAAGTTGTGACACTGCTCAATCTCTCGGCTCATGTGATCAGATTTCGGACACTTGACAGCCAGTCCACATTTATGGCCATTTGCAGTATCCTGCAATCATATGACCAGAATGTGTTTTGGTTTGGGTTCTTTTGCCAGAAACCTGCATTTGCTTTTATTTTCTGGCAAAAAAAAAAAAGCCCACTGTGGACAGCAAATTCACATAGCCACTGCAGGAAAATCATAAAATCAAGCGCAGTCACGTGACCCGCTTAATAACCAGCACAACTTACAAACCATAAATTGTAGTTCTAGGTCGAGGACTGCCCAGTGGTGGGATTCAGCCGGTTCGCGCCGGTTCAGTAGAACCGGTAGCTAAATTTTGTTGAGTTCGGAGAACCGGCTGAACCCATGCTGCTTCTGGGAGTCCGTTCTAGGCCTCAGAGGTCTGAAGGAGGTCTCCCAGGCCTAGAATGGCCCGCCAGAAGTGCGTTGATGTCAATTCCAGAAGTCCGTTCTAGGCCTCGGAGACCTGGAGGAAACCTCCCAGGCCTAGAACAGGCCACAGGAAGTGCATGGATGTCACTTCCGGAAGTCCATTCTAAGCCTCGGAGGCCCAGGCCTGCATCCACGCAGAGAACTGGATGTTCAGGTAGTAATAATAATAATAATAATAATAATAATAATAATAATAATAATAATAATAATAATAATAATAATAATAGTAAAGTTGGAAGGGACCTTGAAGGTCATCTAGTCCAACCCCCTGCTCAGGCAGGAAACCCTATACCATTTCGGACAAAGGGCTGTCCAGTCTCTTCTTAAAAACTTCCAGTGTTGGAGCATTCACCGCTTNCTGTGTTGGCCTTTTTGGCAGCTGCAGCACACGGCTGGCTCCTATTTAGGTGATTGTCCACTAGGACTCCGAGGTCCCTCTCACAGTTACTACTATTGAGCAAGGTGCCACCTATGCTGTACTTGTGCAATTGGTTTTTCTTGCCTAAATGTAGAACCTTGCTTTTTTCACCATTGAATTTCATTTTGTTAGATAGTGCCCAGTGTTCAAGTCTGTCCAGATCCTTCTGTATCTTAAGGTATTTGAATCCCACCACTGGGGCTACCTGTATCATAAACTCTCCCCAGATCAGCTCACCTCAGGGCATCATAATGGAAGAGAGCGGCTCCATCCCAGAGAGGACTGCCTTCAGGCAGCTCCAACAAGTGAGCCAAGCGGCGAAGCCCAGGAGAAAAAACATCATGCTCTAAGATTGTTCGGAATTTTAGCTTACCTCTGTTAGTGTGTACGCCTCCTCAGCCGTACATTCTGCTTTCACGGTAGGGTTACTCAGTGCAAATATGATGGGTCTCTGATTGATGTCGGCCATCGCTTTGATGACATCATGAGAAAACAGCCGCCCAGCCCCGGCAACTCCTGAAAGTGGAAATAAGACCACGGCTCAAAGAAAATGCTCCAATTGTGTGCAAGCTCCTACTTGTTGTAAGAGAAAGAATAAAGTGAAAAGAACTCTATTTTTCTGTAGTCAGCAAGGCTCTCTAGACAAGTGTTTTTCAAACTTGGCAAGTTTAACCGATGTGTGGACTTCAACTCCCAGAATTCCCCAGCCAGGACTTCAACTGGGCTTCAACTCCCAGAATTCCCCAGTCAGTCATGCTGGCTGGGGGATTCTGGGAGTTGAAGTCCACACATCTTAAACTTGCTGAGATTGAAAAACACTGCTTTAGACATTTGGAAATTCCAACATCAGAAATGTAGATGTAGAAGCAGCAAATCCATCGGATGAGCAACCTGGGAATGGTCTGAAACGCTCACCGATAATGGCAGAAGGCTGAAGAACGTTCACTGCATCCAAGAAAGATTTGGGTAGGTTCCCTGGAGCTGGATGAGTAAAGGGCTCCTGGTTGACATCTATCGCTTCTGCCCGGCCCTAAAAGGTGATGAAATAAAAAACAACTGGTCGGGAAACCAAAACCAACATGGATCTAACACTGGATGGGCTCTTTCCAAAACTGACAGGCGCCCTACCTTTATCAATAAGCCATCTTTATCAAACATCCAAATTTTCTTGCAAGCTTCTTCTGCAGGAAGACCATTTTCCACCATAGCCATGAGGATGAGGTTTGCAATCCCAAGGGCGGCCTGACGGAGAAGAGAAAGAGGAGGAAAAGTGAGGATTTGGCAGGGCTGGGTTGGCATCAATGACGCCGCTTGGAATTCAGTTTCCAGAGGACACTAAAACAAACGAAGAAGTGACACTTGGCATGTCCCTCTCTCGGTTTCCATAGGCTTATTGAACGGCTATTCCACTTTTTCCACCCAGGAGAAAGAGCACTTGAGACTACAAATGATAAAGGGACATGCCATGCAGAAGTCTAAAAAATAAGTAAAACAATAGCAATGAGAGCCAGCTCGGTCTAGTGGTCAAGGCTCCCGGCGAGAAAGTGGGAGACGGGGAGTAGCCTAGTCCGACCTTAGGCAAGGAAAGCCAGCTGGGTGACTCTCTCAGCCCAACCCACCTCAAAGGGTTGTTGTGAGGAAAACAAGAGGAGGAAGATGTGTTGGATATGTTTGCCACCTTGAGTTATTTGTAAAAATAATAAAGCCAGTATACAAATACAAAAAAGGAAAATTAAAGTACAGGCAGTCCTTGACTTACAACTGTGAGTATAGAATGATGATCTTACATCGCAGTCATTAAGCAGGTTACTACATGACTGCACCCGGTTTTATGACTTTTCTGTGGCAGTGGTTAATGACCACTGTGGTCGTTAAACAAGCCCATTACACCAACTGGGGATTTTTGCCAAAACCAGAGATAAACCCTGATGTCCAGCAACCCCCCCCCTGCTGAAAACTGTGGTTATGTGGTTATGCAGAACAGACAAGCAAATGGTTGTAAAGGCAGCCCCGTCGCTAAGCACCCAACGCAGGCAGTCACGTGACTGTGGGGGAGGGGGCAGCCCTTGGCCCTTCGAAACTGGGTCAGATGCAGATGAACTGGAGCTCCATTCGCAACTCTGAACGGTCACTAAGCAACCAGCAGTCACGGAGCAAGGCCCACCTGTACTGTTTTAAAAGCCTGATAAAATAATACAGTGAGAATCATAATTTAAGTTATTCAAAAGGCAAGAGTGAAAAAGGGCCCATCTGGAAAACAACTGGCTGAATCCTTAAGGCTAATGGCCACGTCGTTCATATCGGGAGGGGGGAACCCTAATTTAAGGCCCTGCTGAAATGCAACAGGGTAACTGGGAACGGCGGGGAGCTGGATCCCACAAAAAGGGGTTTAAGGATGACGCGTAACCCCAGGCTGCCAAATGCCCAGCCCCACGACACCACCTAGGCCAGCAGTTTCTGAACGTGGCAATTTTAAGATGCAGGGACTTCAACTCCCAGAATACCCCAGCCAGCAGGCACGAAACACTCTTCCAGGGTAGCCTTGCACAGAGGGCACCGCGGCAGTCTAGCTCTAACCTATCCCAGCTCTGATTGGCTCAACAACCGTTCATATTTGACAACTAAATGCAAAGTACACGGGCTCAAATTTATCGCAGCAGTCTAACCGCACGACTCACTTCTCCTGCCCCAAGGAAGAGGATCCGGTGCTCGGCGAGGGGCTTCCCGATGACTTTCTCTGCCGCCAGCAACCCAGCCAAGGCGACCGCTGCGGTCCCTGAGGGAGGACACACAATGTCTCAGGAGCTTAAAAGGCAGAAGCGAGGAAAAACGGAGCCCACAGGGGCACACGGGGAATAGGTTGACTGCTTACCCTGTATGTCATCGTTGAAAATGCAGTATTTTTCTCGGTATTTCCTCAAAAAGCGGAAGGCGTTGTGATTGCCAAAGTCTTCAAACTGAATGAGGGTGTTCTGGCCGTACCTGGAAGGCAGAGGCAGCACCCATGTCAGCCACGTAGACCCTGCACACCTCTCTAATTTAAGTGTCCTAAGAAAGCACGGCACCAAACCTGGTATTTGCACACAGGCAGTCCTCAACTTACAACAAAATGGTTTAGTGACCATTCGAAATTACAATGGCACTGGAAAAAGTAATTTCTAGCCCCTTTTCACACTTTACGAGTATTGCAGCCTCCCCGGGGCCACGTGATCAAAATTCAAACAGCTGGCAACCGGCATGTACTTACGACGGTCGCAGAGTCCTGGGATCACACGATGATCCCCTTTGGCGACCTTCTGACAAGCAAACTCAACGGGGGAAGCCAGATTCACTTAACAACCGTGTGACTAATCTAACAACTTCAGTGATTCACTTAACAACTATGACAAGAAAGGTTGTAAAATGGGGCAAAACTCACTTAACAACTGATAAATGACAGAAACAACAGAAATTCCAGGCTCCGTTGTGGTCAAAGTCGAGAGCAGATGTATACCTAAAGGCACAAATGACCAGGGTCAAATGTGTCAAACTTTGGACACGTTTTAGGAGGACATCCAGTTCTATGGAAAAGGCTCCAGTGCTGAGAAAGGTGGAAGGAAGGAAGGAAGGGAGGAAGGGAGGGAGGGAGGGAGGAAGGAAGGAAGGAAGGAAGGAAGGAAGGAAGGAAGGAAGGAAGGAAGGAAGGAAGGAAGGAAGGAAAGAAGAGGACAACCAACAGCAAAGTGCATGGATACATCATATCTTTGTTTCTGTTTTTTAACTATGCTAATGTTGCTTCAGGGCATGTCTTGAGGTTTTCCCATTTCAGAAGGGCGGGATGTCATACTGCTTGCTTATAGGGAATTCCACTGCTAAATTTCAACTGTGTGGTTAAAAAAAAACCCCTTTGGCCCACAAAAGGGGAGTTTATGACCATATTCATCTCTTGGGATGCCAGCTGTCAATTCTCATCTTTGCTAAATAGATACTCTTTGATCCATCAACATCTTCTTGGTCATGCAGGAAAGGCTGTCTGTTGACCTGCACGGATTCCTTCCCTGCTTGCAGTGGAACAGGGCTCAGGATTTATACCTGCCTATCACGGCTTCCATGAATTCATCAATTAGTTCATCATAAAGCTGCGAGCGGTCTCGTTTCTGATATAACCCCATATAAAATGGATCTTCCAAAAGTGTCTAGGAAAATGGAAAAACAAAGCAAAGTCACCGCACCGATCTCTGACACTGAATTAGACTCTGTCACTCCTAGGAAACCTGGATATTTGCAGGACATTTTCTGAGAAGGCTGTCAGGGCATGGATAGTCCTTGACTTACAAGCAGAGTTGAGACTGGAATTTTAGTCACTAAGCGATGCAATCATGAAGCGAATCATCACGTGATCAGACCCAATTTTACAATATTTTTATTGCGGTTGTTAAAAGAATCACTGAGGTTGTTAAGCAAATCATGTGGCCGTTAAGCAAATCTGGCTTCCCCAATTGACTTTGCTTCTGGGAAGCCCGCTGGGAGGGTCGCAAACCGTCCTGGGATGCTGCAGCTTCATAAATGGGAAGTTGCTCGCCAAGCACTCGAATTGTGACCAGGTGACCAGGTTGTGACCTCAAGGACAGACCGTAGGCCACTTTTTGCGAGGCCATCATAACTTTGAACCACCAATAAACGAATGGTCATAAGTCAAAGACTACCTTTGGTGGAACTTTAAACCCTTGGTCATCTATTAGAAATATTCTACAAATGCCGCAAGAGAGGGATGCAAAGAGATTCGCACTTAAGAAAAAGATACTAAGAATGTGTTCACAAACATGTCAAAATTCTTCAGTTCTAGACAAGGCCCCGGGGGGGCTTCTGTGACTCGGATGTTTTAAGCAGAAGAGGACGAAGAAAAGTGCGCTGAGTCACACTTTGTCACAAGACAAAGACAACTGTTGGAGAACGTGAATATCATACAGGTAGTCCTCGACCTACGACCACAATTGAGCCCAAAATTTCTGTTGCTAAGCGAGACGGTTGTTAAGTGAACTTTGCCCCATTTTACAACCTTTCTTGCAAGTTGTTAAGTGAATCACTGCAGTTGTTAAATTAGTAATACAGTTGTTAATTGAATCTGGCTTCCCATTAACTTTGCTTGTCACAAGGTCACAAAAAGGGATCACGTGGCCCCCGGGACAATGCAACGGTCATAAATATGAGTCAGTTGCCAAAGGTCTGAATTTTGATCAAGTGACTTTGGGGATGCTGCAACGATCACGACTGTGAAAAATGGTCATAAGTCACTGTTTTCAATGCCGTTGTAATTTTGAATGGTCACTAAATGACCTGTTGTAAGTCGAGGATTACTTGTAGTGGGAAGAGCTGGAAGGAATCTCCAAGGTAATCTAGCCAAACTCCCACTCTATAGCATCTCACCCCACCAATGAACACCACAGACAAGCAACTGGTATTTGGTGGGCGTAGAACATGTAACAACTTACCTGATTGTCAGTTCCAACATCGATACACACAGGAAGGCACTTGTCAGGTTTTATTCCAGCACAGGCGGTGTATAAACAGAGTTTGCCAACTGGGATTCCCATTCCATATACTCCCAGATCCCCAAGGCCCAAGATACGTTCTCCGTCTGTGACAACAACAGCCTTGAAGGACAGAAGTGGATATAGAAATGCATCCGATTACAGGAAGAAGGAAAGACAATGTGACAAAGAATTCATAGTTTAGCTGGTGAGCATACCCCCTCTCTATTTGTTAGCTGCACTCCAGGAAACCTATCTGGTCCTAGAGAAAGTCCACCTGAAAGAAGAAAATACAGCCAGTACCTTCACATCATTCTCTGGCCAGTTGTTCACCACAGATCGGATGTGGCCCTTATCTGTTACGGCAATGTATAATCCTCTGCAAAGAAATCAAAGCAGAAATGCAAAGGTCAACCTGGTATACTTTCTCCTCATTCATTTTAAAAAGTTGAATATGACACCTTTAAAAAAAACGGGTAAAACTAAGATAGCACTTGAGATCTATGTCACTGTTAAAAGCTTACAGAATCTGAAAAAAGCAAAATTTATCTGATTTTAACATTCACATCCAGTTAATTTTGTCACGTGAAATGAAGCAGGAAAAAATATCTCTGAACAGGCAATAATACTGAATTAAGTACAATTCCGGAAGGAGAGGCAGATTCAAAACACTCGAGCGGAAGATGGAAAGATTCAGCACAGCCCCCCCCCCCCCCACGGTCAGTGAAATTCACAAAACTTGCCAAGATGGACAAATTGACTCCTTTGATTAAAGAAAGTATTTACATTTATTGATAACTGAAAATCCCTTATGGACTCTTTGCATAAAAATGAGGGGGGAAAATGAACTTTAGATTTATGGTTTTAATGATTAGGCAAGATATTTTATAGAATGAAGAGAGTCATGACATAATTTTAGATGAAAAAATAAAGTACAATTGTCTTTATATCATTCTTCTGTTTTCTACTTTGTTTTATTTTTTAATCGCAGTTTTAGCTTTTTCTTTTATTCTCTTTCCATTTTTCTTTCTTCTGTTTTAGTTTGTATTGCTTATTATAACTTAACATGTTCAATAAAAACTATTAAAGAAAACCCAAACACTTGAGTGAATGTTGTCTTTTTCCCATTATTCTCTGACAAGAAAAAGCAGTATCAAGTTCCAGGATAAAAATTATTTGTTACTACAAGGGGGAAAAAAAAATCTTTATCATCCTTCATCAACTTGGTCCAACTCAATTAGAGAGCTCTAACAGGGCTATTTTTATGTAGATTGTATCATAATCATTTGTTTGTATAGATTGAGGTGCCACCCAATTCTAGCGTGCACTGGAATTCTGGAAGTTGAAGTCCACCCATCTTAAAGTCACTGAGGCCGAGAAATACTGAGCTAGCTTATTTAGTGAAATCAAAATTATCAGCTAGATTGAGCCTTAGAAAATCCATGTCTCTTTGGCTTCTACAAATAAGAATTTTTGTGATGATGGCCAGGAAATGAACATTTATTCCAGGAAGTGAGTAAAATCTAAATAATAATGAAGAAAAACATAAATCATTTTATTTAGAAGGATTATACAGCCCTTCCCGAGTTAGCAACTCCCTGGAAGGTAGAAAATAGAAAATGGACTTTAAGTAGAAACAAAACACAGGTGAAGAAGAAGAAAAGAAGAAAAATAAGACAAGAGAAATCGAAATTTATTATGTCACCATCAATTCTTTGGGGGTTTTTTTGCCTACAATCAGCAGAAATAGTGCTTTATTGAGGAATACCAGCTTAATAAATAACCAACATAAAATTAAAAAGAACAGTGAGTCTGTTATTGGGTTTCCAGAATGAAAGAGCAGAAATATTAGTGACAATTACATAAAAAAATCCTAAGGCTGTCCTTACTTTGGCCTTCTAAAAATATGCCCATACTGGGAACACGCAAGGCCTACTGTTGGCGTATAGACAATGGGCATTAATTGTTCAATATCATCTTGTAGAATCCTGTAGAACAGCTTCTCGTTTCTTTCCTGAATTCCCATCACGTAGATGTACCTGTGAGCAGAGAAGTGGAGAAACAATATGAAATGTGTGTGCTTACTGTATATATATTTATCTCTTTTTGGGAACAGATTTCAACCCTCAAACATAATACTGTATTGCCTTTCTGTCACCTATCAGTTTTATTTTCTAAAGAAGCTGACTGGGATATGTGATACGGTGACCAAAATTGGCTGCAGTATTCCGGGTGTGGTCTCAGTAGAGTTTTATAAAGCGGTAATATTACTTCGCGTGATCTTGATTCTATGCCTCTGTTTATACAACCCAGGATAGTGTTGGCTTTTTTGGTTGCTTTAAGTCACTTTTTTCAGTGCCGTTGTAACTGAATGGTTGTAAATTGAAGATTACCTGTATCAATTGCTAATCTCTTTTACTGTTCATTTCCGTTTATAATTTAACTTTTCAAGTTTCTGAAACATTGTTGCTAGCAATCTGGACTATTTGGCTAGAAAGCGAAGGAAGCAATCCCGAAGGTGCTCTTTCAAAAGGAAACTGAACTTTCTTTGTTTTTTCCTCAAAGCCGTTTCGCTTCTCATCCAAGAAGCTTCTTCAGTTTTGACTGAATGAGAAGCAAAACATCTTTAAGGAGAAAAACAAAGGAAGTTCAGTTGCCTTTTGAAAAAGCACCTATGGGGCAGCCGTGGCCTGGATGATTGAGAATCTCCACTGACAAGGAAGCAATCCAAGTGAAATGAACACCCAACAGCAAAGAACCGTACGTGTGTATAATGTAATGCAGCCCGACGTCATTTGGGGCTTTACTGGAGAGGAGACTCTAGAATCTGGGAGGACAGATGTGAAGTAGGCAGCCTTGCCACTGGCCAGGCCCTGAGAGGTGAGGATTCCAGTTTGCTAGACTGGAGGACGAGGAAGACAAGCAAATGAAGCTGCTGTGGAAAACAAAGCAGGTGACAAGAGCTATTTTTAATACAGAATGCACATTCTAGTGAATGCCGGTTTCAGATTCCATATCCAGCATTACAGGCGAACGGGCTACAAACATTAGTTCTTGTGTATGTAGTAGGTGGTTGTGAAAATGACCTTGGACTACAGACAGAATGCTGTGCATATAACTATTCAGAAATAAACCTCATGAATCACAATTTACTCCCCAGAAAAACGGGGCCTGGATTAGATTGCAGAAACCTTTGTATCAGGGGAAAATAATGAATGCAACTCTGATTAGCCAACATTTGTACAATGGGTACAGCAGTTCTCTTGATAAATAGGCAGTCCAGTCACAGGTCACTTTATGGTCAATTAACCAGCTTTTGGTTTCTCCTTCCAGGAAGATTATATATTAACACTCAAGTCATAAAATATGTTTCCAGTCAACAGGGAAAAAGAAAGGCTTAGGGTAAAGGCTGCTGTACCTTAAAAAGACACTATTCAACACAGACTTACCTTGAGGCAAGATGGGCAGCCTTTCAATTTTATAAACGAACACAGATGGACAATATATATGTGTATGTACAGGCACACTGATATGCATGCACACCCTTTCAAGATCTACACAAGAGTGTTACACCTTCACCGGAGGGGCGGGACCTACATTTTCAGCCATACTGGGGGATAAATCTGAAAAAATAATTAGATTTTCTTTTTATCCCACCTTTACTATTTTTATAAATAACTCAAGGTGGCGAATATATCTAATATTCCCCCTCCTATCTTCCTCACAGCAAGATAACACCGTGAGGTGGGTCGGGCTGAGAGAGAGTGACCCAAAGACACCCAGCTGGCTTATGTGCCTAAGGCGGGACTAGAACTCACCGTCTCCTGGTGATTGGCCCAAGGTCACCCAGCTGGCCTTCACGCCTAAGGCGGGACTAGAACTCCCAGCCTCCTAGTTTCTATCCTGCTACCTTAACAACTAGATCAAACTTTCAAGATCTCACTCAGAATAGGTGAACTAAGCCTACCCCAAGAATTTATTTTAAAAATGGTATTAAAATGAAGTTGCCTTTGAATTTTGGTAAGGTGATCGTGGAAGACTCTGGAGAAGTTGCAAATCCAGGTTTGGGAGTGCTGCCCACCCAACCCCTTTGCATTAAAACTAGCAACAAAATATAAATGTTGACAATATTCTGAAAATGGCAACAAATGGAAGAGTTTGAATGCATCTGGTTCCTTTTGAAGGAGAACCCCATCAACCAGCATTCCCCCCCCCCTCTCCAGCGTGCCTGGGATATTTGCAACTGTGCTTCTCCAAACCACAGCTGGAAAGCAACAACAACACCAGGAAGGGGCAGAGAATCAGCTCCCAAAGAGCAGCTCTCCTCCAATCGGGTCTTACTTCTCCAAGGGATCCGTCATCCTGGCTAGGTTCTTATGGAAGCGTAAAGCCTGGAGGTCCTGCGTCTCGACCTTCGGAGGCAAGAGCCCTTGAAGCCCCAACATCTGCCGTTCTTTTAAGGTGAAGGCCATGCCCTGGACGGAGACAGGGAGAGGAAAAGGTAAGATTAGCCCCCACTCCAGGTCTGGGGGAGTCCTTTGGCCAAAGGATTTTAGTGGGATCCTACTAGTTCTTCACCTGAGATGCGATTCCTTCCTTTGTCCTTAATCAGCCCCAGAGGAGGGGAACCGCGGCCCCTTTATGACTCTTCAGGCCTGGCTGGCTTAGGAATTCTGGGAGTTGAAGTCCACCAGTCATAAAAGGGTCACCTCTGATCCAGACCAACACGCTCTCTTTCATTTGTTCCTTTCACGTTATTTAATGTGGCTCATTTTCTTTCTATTCCAGAGTTTAACGCATTTAACACAAAAGCCGGTTATATGAGCTAGAAATTGATGCTGCATTTAATAAAAATAGGTTTTCAATTGCTCACCATGTGGCCATGACGAGTTACAATCGTGATGGGCAAGCGCCATCGTGGTCATAACTCAAGGATTACCTGCAAGTGCCCTGTCGCCCTTCTAACTAACTACGGCTGCCATTCTTAGCCCTGATGTTTACACAGCATGTTTCATCCTCTAGTGGGTCAGTTTCAGTGAAACAGATGCTCAACTGAGCCACCAAACCAAACCTGGATTTTAGGCACACAGACACTTATTTTTCTCACCAAAAAAATCCCAGGGAATCGGTTGATCAAACATCTGTTATATCCTACTTTTGCCTAGAGAAACTCCAGTTTCCCCCCATTTTCCCCTTCTCTCACACACAAAGTGACCGAAACCCTGGCTACAGGCTGTGCTATTCTGTTGCACTATACGGATAGTCCTCGACGTACAACAGTTCATTTGGTGACCATTCAAAGTCACATCGGCACTGAAAAAAGTGACCGATGACCGTTTTTCACAGTTACAGTCTTTGCAGCATCCCCGTGGCCTCGTGATCAAAACTCAGACGCTTGGCCACTGGGTCCCAGGATCACGTGATCCCCTTTGCTGTGTCCCAGGATCATGTGATCCCCTTTTGCGACCTTCTGACCAGCGAAGTCAAGGGGGGGAAGGCAAATTCACTTAACAACTGGGTTACTAACTTATTAACTGCAGTGATTCACTTAACAACTGAGGCAAGAAAGGTTGTAAGATGGGGCAAAACTCACCTAAGAAATGTCTCACTTAACAACATAAATTTTGGGCTCAACTGTGGTTGTAAGTTAAGGACTATCTATATTGTGTGAAAGCAGCCAAACTGTAGCCTATTCAGCAATCCATGGTTAAACAAACGTTCCATAACATAACATGACACAAGTTGAGTCAATCACAGACTTGATTACCATCTACATCATACACTAAGGCAGGGGTCCCCAACCCCCAGGTCGTGGACCGCCAAAGGGCCGTGGCAGGCAGAAAATGGGCCGCAGAAACACACGAAGCCCCCATCCGCGGGATGCAGGCAGTACACGAAACCAGGCCCATCTCTGCACGGAACCAGTCCCTGGTGTCCAAAAGGTTGGGGGCCACTGCACTAGGGCTATGAAAAGGGATCCCAATAATAAAGCAAAAAGGGGATTTATTACAATTGTCCACATTGCAACTCTTTAGTTACTAACCATCAACAGACTGTGGATCTGCTCAATATTCAGCTTCTCTCTCTGTCTCTCTTTTAATATTTGGCACTGCCTAACGTCTCAACACAAAGCTCCTGCAGCAGTCTTCCGCCTTACATGAAGTTTCACAGCACTAGTGTGAATTTAAGACGTGGTGTACAATACGCCCATGACACACTTACCTTGTTCGTCCTGGGGTTAAGCATCAGAGGCTTCCCTTTTTCCTTCCTGTGCATGCTGCGATGTGCCAACCAGGTGCAGGGGGGGGAAGCAGCCGTTCTTAACCGGGAGAGCATTGTGCATACAGTTGGCCTAGGAGAGGGAAAAAGAGGAGATGGAATTGCACCGGCTGCTTCAAAAGGCAGACATTCAAGCAGATGCATAATAATAGCAAGATTTTCCGGTTTTAGTTAAATAGGATACAGCTGTTTGAAAAAAGGACTGTTTATAAATAAGGCACAAAGACTCCTTTGAGGGGTATAAATGATTCAAAGGAAGAAGTCAACATTAGAGTCCTATTTCCACCGGGAGCCTTTCAGGTGGGTTTTAGGGAAGCCTCTGTTAGGCTGTGGAAAAACCTTACGCTCTTTTGTTCTGTATTCTCTACACCAGTGTTTCTCAACCTTGGGAATTTTAAGATAGGTGGACTTCAGTTCCTAGAATTCCCCAGCCAGCATGCATGGCTAGCTGGCTGAGGAATTCTGGGAGTTGAAGTCCACAAGTCTTAAAGTTGGCAAATTTTGGGACTCTCGCTCTAAGCCAATGTTTCATTCTGTAATTTGGCATCGCTCAATCTAGGATCCCCTGCTTGAGTTCTGTATGCAACATCTCAATTTCCCAAAAGTCTGCCGGGTGGGGACTCTGAGCTTCGCCAAGGGCTACACACCCTCGGAGGTGGCCTGATGATGGGTGGCTGATGAAACGCACGGATGGTGATTGAGAAACACTGCTCTACACACAGAGCAGCGGAAGGAGGGTCTTCTCCTTTTCTCAAGAAGGAAATGAGAATCTCTCTTTCCCTTTTCTGTGTGGACATGAAGATCTTCCTACACACAGAAGGGAGGCGTGGCAGTTCAGGCACTGAAGGACCTTGCCCAATCATTAAAATTCCAACCGACTCAAGTTACAAGGTTGCTGTTGTGGGGAAAACGTGGAGGAAGGGGATCTATCCACACTGCCTTGAACTCCTGGATGAAAAGGCATGATATAAATCTAATAAACAAACACTGCATAATGTTATATGTTTGATGCTGAATGAGCAGCGCTACACGCGTGTTCAGAGGTTGCTTTCTCACTCTGCATCAACGGTCATTAGGAGGCTTATGAGTCCCTTTTCAGCAAACTTTGGACCTTCCCAAGAATGTGGCCTTGAAGAGTGTTGTATTGTTGTATCCCAGGTAGAAATGGTGCCACAATTGACTGGGCACAGAGAATGTTGGCAGCTGTGGCTCAATTTCTCTCAAAGGGGATGGGTTTGGGAAGGTTACTGTGTAACCCAAGAGAAGGGAACGGTTCATTTGCCCCAGTGACAAGGGCAATTCCAGGCTCACTTTGCTAGGCACTGTTTTACAGTAATTGCTATAAATTACCTGAAATACTCAACGCTGTTTTACTGAAAAGTGAAAGTAAAGGAAGCAGCTGGAGAACAGGAGATTTGTAGCCAACCCTGGATACACAATTTACAGCTAGCAAGCTTTTATTTTTAGTTCAGTGGCTGAAGAGGTAGGCAAAAAGAGGAGATCCCAGAACAGGATTCTCATACTTGGAATTAAATCCACAAGAGAGATCCTTAAAGAAGGATCACAGATGCAAGCAACATCAAGTCTCAGACTCTGCTCAGAGTTGCCTAAACCATGAGATGACAAATAAATAGGAAGGAAGGAAGGAAGGAAGGAAGGAAGGAAGGAAGGAAGGAAGGAAAAGAGAGAGAGAGAGAAAGAGAGAGAAAGAAAGAGAAAGAAAGAAAGAAAGAAAGAAAGAAAGAAAGAAAGAAAGAAAGAAAGAAAGAAAGAAAGAAAGAAATCCTTCCAGTTGAAGGCACTAATTGCGCCTTCACTCAAGTGGCTCTCTTGGACCAGGATGAGGAACAGACCCCAACAGACCATCTTCTGAAAATGGCTGTCTCAAGTTCTTTCCTGACATCTATCTTCTCCTGCAACTCCCAGTCTTCAAGGGACGCTGTGTCCTCCTTGGCAGAGGCCAACAGAGCCTCCTGCCTTAGAACTTTGCCAGGAGTGGCCTTAGGCGGCCAGGACGATTGTTGCCTGCTGTTGGTGCCCAGCTGCTATTCATAGGTATTGCCTAAACCCTCCCAGGCCTTTGCAGACAATGGCTTTGGGCTAGTCGTGATTGATGTTTTCCTAGGGCTGTTTGCTACGTTTGTCACCTGTTCCGAAACATCCCCTTCCCAGCGTCATCAGCAGAATTTCCCACTGCTTAGTCGTCCATGCTATCTTACCACCCAGGTCCATCTTCCCACTGGGGGGAGAGCCTCACAGCTAAAAGACAGCAGTATTAAAAAAAAATGCTATTTCTCTGCAATGTCAATTATTTATCCTTCCTTCTCAAATACTGTCCAGTTCTAGCACCATCGGTTAGTCCCAACGTTGTCCTGGAACTATGCTGAAGTGGAACCCAACACAGGAACATATCATTTCTGCAACCCTTCTTTCCCTGTTTCTTCCATGCGGCTGAATTTGGAGGCCTCCTGCAACAGGAAAATGACCCACCTTCACGAAACACCCCAGACTGAGCAGGCGGAGGCTGAATGATAAAAAATATTTTAATCTGTCAGCTTGGAAGCAGTTATTTCCAAGAGCAAATTCACCTCCCAAAGGGGAATGGAATCTCCTGCACTGTTAAGTAGCCTCTCGTAGAGAGAGGACGATAAGGGAGGAGGCCTCAATTGCCCTGTGCATTATTTAAGACCTGGGAAGCAAGGTAATATTTGGAAGTGACCCGGGAAGGCTCCTCCTGGTTCACGGACGGGGGATAAAAGAGGGAGGGGAAGCAAACAAGCTTGAAGTCTGCAAGGTTCGGTTATTATAGCCAAGGTCCGGGTGATCTGAGCAGCTGAGCGGGGCCGGCCGTCAGACAGGGGCCTGCTCCGGGTCCCGTCAGCCAAGGAACTGCCGCTGGTGGGGTCCAGTGGGAAGAGACTTCTCTGCCATGGCTCCTGCCCTTTGGAACAGGGCGCCCCCCCTCAAGGTGAGATCCGCACCCGCCTCTTGCCCTTCCAAGAGAGCCTGAGGACCTGCCTTGGCCAACCCTCCCGGGTGGGGGCCCTAGTGGGAGGCGTCCCATTCTGGAGGTGCTACTAGATGAGTGGAAGACCTCACCTCCGCCCGGTCCACACACTCTTCTTTTTTTCCGTTTTAACTTTAACTTTAATGTTTTAACTTCTAAGGTCTGATGGTTAAACGTTTCTATTCTGTGAATGCTTCATGGTATACTACTGTGTATGGTATTGTAAGCTGCCCAGAGCCACTCGGTAGAGAGGTGGGTGCCATACAGATTTAGTAACTAAATGAAATAAATAAATAGCCCATTTTAATAAACTGCAGTTCTAGTCTTGTTGTGGAGTTGATTTTTTGCTCTGTTTACTTGCTGGGGCTGACACACACAGACTCCGTGTGATCCTACAGGCAGCACCAGGGGGTCGCCTAAGAACCAAGAACTACCACTGGCTCTTAAACACCTTTTTATGGTCCTCTTTCTCATTTTAGAAAAAAAACTTGTGCCTTAATTTTCTCCGTTTTGCAAGACACATAAAACCTATACAAGTAGTATAGGTTAGCGACCATTCAAAGTTACAAAAGTACTGAAAAAAAAAGTGACTTATGACCCTTTTTCAGACTTGCAACCATTGTAGCATGCCCATGGTCCCATGATTAAAAATTCGGGCACCTGACATGTATGACATTTGCTGTGTCCCGGGATGCGCCCCCCCCTCCCATGGGATTGCTATTGGTAACCAGCTGGCTTCCATCAAAGTCAATGGGGGAAGCCAGATCCACTTAACAATCACAAGATTCACTTAACAACTGCAGTGATTGGTTTAACTGTGGCAAAAAAGGTTGTAAAATGGGATACAACTTACTTAACAATTGTCTTGTTTACCAACACAAATTTTGGCTCTATTGCGGTCGTAGGTTGAGGACTACCTGTAATTCAAAAAGAGGAAATCTGCCCTCCCTCCAGATGTTGTTAAATTACAGGGTCTCTCCCCATTAGCCACACAATAGGAGTGGAAATTCAGCAACATCTGGAACCATAAATGGCTTCCTCTGACAGATTCAGTGGCTGAATCTTAGAATAGAGCTGGAAGGGACCTTGGAGGTCTTCTAGTCCAGCCCTCTGCTCAAACAGGAAACCTTATACCATTTCAGACGAGTGGCTGTCCAGTCTCTTCTTAAAAACCTCCAGTGATGGAGCACCCACGATTTCTGGTGGCCAGCTGTTCCTCTGGTTAATTGTTCTAACTGTCAGGAAGTTTCTCCTTAATTCTAGGTTGCTTCTCTCTTTGGTCAGTTTCCATCCGTTGCTTCTCGTCCTGCCCTCTGGGGCTTTGGTGAATAAAGTGACCCCCTTTTCTATGTGGCAGCCTCTCAAATACTGGAATACTGCTATCATGTCTCCCCTATTTCTTCTTTCCAGGCCTTAACACAGTTTAAAACATAATGGGGAAACTCTTTACCTGTGCCAAACCAAACCCAGGTGAGCAGCTCTGGGCTCTTTTGCATTTGTGCCCTGCCCACTGGAATTTTTTGTCCCCCCCAAATGTTAACTGTGGCCCCCATGATCATCAAAGGTAGCGTGGTATTTTGCTTCAAAGAAAAATAATGTGAATATTGTAGGTTTCCAACAAAATAATCATAAAGTCACTCTGTATAAATGCAGAAGCCTAATTTATAAATTAAACAATTAAATTCTTACAAGTTGCTCCAGGATATCACATTGTTCCAGGGTTCAAGTTACTAATTAACTTTATAAATGCTAACATTCTAGATACAATATTATGTTAATTATGAATTGGTATGCTGCGCCAAAGTTATGCAGTCCGGCTTTGAAATCAGATTCTGTTCCACATCATAAATAAAGTAAAGATACGCTCATAAATTAGATTTCTCATTTGATGCCAGTAACTTAAAGGTCCTTTGGACATTTTTGACAAGAACAAAGGAAGCAAACATGCCTGTGGTGTTTTTTTTTTAACAAAAATAGTTCTTTTTGCAGCCACTGTGTTTAGTTGCCCACGTAAACCCGTGTGTGGGTGCATCCTAAATCACAACTTAGA